AGATGCAAAAAGCCATCTTCTCCCCAAATATTTTAATGATTTATGTTTCTCTTTTTCCTTGAAAACAACTTTTAAAATTATTTACATTTATTAGTTTTAAGATTTTTTAAAATTATTATTATTTTTATTATTTTTTACAGAAACTTGTTAAGCACGTTGATCATAATTCATATAGCTTGAATACGGAGTTCGGATATCTGAGAAATCAAATTTTAAAAAAGTCTTATATTTAATGCTTGATTTCTCAAGAAATATTCGATTAGTTTCGCTCGAATTTTGAATTTTTCCATTTTAAATTACCTTTTTTAAAAACAGTGCAAAAAATTTATACCTTACAATTCAAATTTTTTTCCGACTTTTATTAAGTAAAATAATATTTACAAAAAGTTATTTCCAGACAATTTACACAATTATAAACGAAATTTATAATTCTGTGCAGAAATTTTCCGATTCATTTGAAAAGCTCTCGAGTTATTTCTCAAATTGCAATTACCCCCTATTTTCTGGGGTTCAGAAATCCGAATCCGTCGAAAAAATGTCATGTTTGTTCAGAGAAAGTATGTTTCAATGTCTGATTTCGTCACTTAAAATATCGCCCTGCGTTTTTTAATTAGCATATTTTAAGTCACTCCCTTGAACCATTAAGACTGAGTCTTAGAACGTGAAGATCTGATCATTAAATTAAAAGTTATCAGGGTGGTCCATTTATGTATTTATATGCGCACTGAACATCAAAAAATTTATAATTCAAATCTGTTTAATTTTTTCGCTTTATCTCTACTTTATTCCATTATGATGCGAAGTGGAATTTTCAGAATTTGAGAATAATGGACCAAAATGTAATCTGGTCTATTTCTTTACTTTTTGCCTTTTTTTCACCGTTTGTAAATTATTTCTAGATATTCTTAAAATATAACGTTAACTTTCTCTAATTTATTTCTCATTAAAGTCAGTATTAATGTATTATTGTCACTATTCAGTCTAGAGTTTTGTATGAAATTATGCGTATATTTTTTCTTATTATATGTTATTATGTAATGTTTGTAAAATTTAATTACATTAAGGGCACTGCTTTTTTTAATTGAGCAGCAAATAAACTAACCAAAATATATAATTTGATTGTAGCTATTTTATTTATAATTGTCATAACAAATAGTAATTATTTGCACTGTAATCTTTAAGGAATTTATTATATCGCGATATTGTTTTAATGTTAGCAAAGCATGATGATTAAAAAATAAAAATTTCCGTCAGTTTTAATTAAAAAAATATTGGGTTACGTAATAGCTATTTTTTAACCCAGAGCTACTTTTGTTGTGTGTGCGTATTTTTGCTACCAAGTTATATTATTAAAATATAATTGGTTAATTAAACAAATTGTCATAATTTTTATTGGTAGGTACGTACTTTATTAACGTCGCACTATAGTTGCACAGTGGGCTTTTGACGACGATCTGAGAAACATCCTTGAAGATTATCCGAAGACATGCCATTACAATTTTGGTCTTCTTCAGAGGGGATGGCTCCTCTGCTTTGGTAACCTGACGACCTGATCTCGAAATCGAGCACTTCACGGTAGAACAGTTTAACGAGGACTGATACCACCCACCCTCGGTCCCCACTCAGGCTGACCGCAGCCAGTGATGCTTGACTTCAGTGTTCTACCGGGAATGTCTTGTCTATCAATCCACTGCAAGATTGATTTTTTTCTTTCTTTTTTTTTTTTTTTTTTGATAACTGAAAAAGCGCAATAAAATCTTCCATACATATGATAAAACAGACTTTTTATTTCTAACCAATGATGATTGTGAATACACTTGAATGCATTACAATTAAAGAGAGAATTTTATTGTTCTAGTTAATTTCTATTAATCTATCTTTATTTAAATACAATGCAATCTTCATGCAATATTGACTAAAAGAGTTAAATACTTCAAACAATGATTTTATTTCGTGTTGTATTAAGAAAGAAAGAGAATATAAATATTTTGGAAAAGGGCACCAGTACAAGATTCGCCATAGGTGCTTCTTTCCAAAGATACGCCTCCGCAATACACCTCTCTTTCTCAGTATGGATGAGAGTTCAATCCCACGTAGCATGACTCTTTACTTAGCTTGGTTTGGACTAAACAAATGCTTCTTATACATTTTGGATATGTACTACTCAACAACTATTACTTCACAACTGCGTTCGAAAATTTTCACTCTCACTTTGCAATCTGGAACAAGTTTCAAATGATTTCCTCATTGCAAAAATTATAAAAAATTCGCAATCTCTCCTACATTATGTTAACTATATTAATGTTCTTATTGTAGCATGGCTTGAACTAAACATATGTTTCTTAAAAATTTTGGGTATTTATTTTTTCACATCTATGGGATTAAAGTTGTAAACTCTCCAAATTTGTTATAAACAATATACTTTTGATTTTAAATGTTATTTAAAAAGAAAAGGATTACTCAGAAAAATGATTTATATTCACTTAATAGTTATCATAAGGGGAATATTTGGACTTGAGAAGTGAAGACACAAGTGTTCTTTTTAGTACATATATCTTAAGTTGAATGATTTCAACTGTTTTATGCCAAGAAACAGCAATTATTGTGAAGCAATCATCAGGATTAATGAGCGTTAATGAACAGCGGACTTAGCCACCTAGTACAAATATTCTTCTAACAGTATTTATAAATTCACTGTATATAAAATGCATATTAAATTTATTATTTGCAAGCTTTTATCCCAATGTTTTTAAAACATTTTCAGTTATTAGTTATTTCTTTTTATTGTTAGTAACTATTACAAATACAAATGATTGTATAAAATGCTTCATAGTATTTTTCACTTTAAAAGGATTATTTTTTTTGGTTCTAAACTACTTAAAATTTCTTTAACTACATGATTAATTAACCTAATCATTGTTTCATTTTTTATTGATCTAATGATTTAAATCAATGATATTTAAAAGCGCTGGTGATTAAAATCATGGAGTAAATTACTAGTTCTAATCATTTGATTAGTCTTCAACACTTCGTTGAAAAGAGTCAATGTTTGTTTTCAACATTCCGCTTGTTTTGCTTTAGCGTTAATTGAAATTATTTAATATGGCTCAATATGATATGGTTCTTAAGATGCACGTGATATTTTTCCTTTCTGAGAAAATGCTTGTAATGAAACAAAACAAAAAAGAAGTAAACAAAAGCAAAGATATCACTATGAATAACTTTTCTTCTAATGGTCTGACTTTCAATAACTAGGCGGTTATTATTTAAATGGTTCAAAAGGTTGACCTTAAGTATGCTAATAATTAGTGCTAACTATTAATTAAATTACCGAATCAGACAAAAAAACTTACTTTTGCTAACCTTTTTTTGACGAATTCTGAAAAATTTTTTCCCAATAGTCAGAAGAGCGGAGGAAAGTTTTAGCCGCTTAATGTTAACTTTGCCTCACAACGCAATTCGTGATACCTCTAAAACTATATGAGTGAATTAAAAAACTTTTTACCACAATTATAAGACTCAAATACCCAAAGATAATTCCATGTAAAAATAATTTTTAATAGTTATTTTATAATCTTCAGGAAGGAGTTGAAAATTTTAAAAATATCGTATTTTAAATTTTTATTTCTCAAGAACTATTCCACCATCTTCGATCAAATTTTGCATTTTATCATTTATAATTACATACTTTAAAATAATATAAAAATTTGTATGCATAATTTATAATTTTCCTTTCATTATTAAACTGAAAAAAACATGGATAAATCTTGGGAGCTTTGGAATCTCCGGAAAAAATTTTTGAAGAAGAGGCAAACCTCCTTGCAGTTACATCCTTGGAAATACTCAGTTGTTATAACGTTAAGTCTAGAGGAGCATAGCTTGCCTTTAAGGAGCAAATCTATATATTATTGATAAGAAGTGTTTTATAACGATTCTTTTTTCAAATGTCTGGTTTGCATATTTATTGCTGATCAAACCACATGTTACTACTACTTAACACTACTATTTCACAATTAATGTTAAAATTTTATACCCTTCATAATTTTAACATTAATAGAATGATATAAGCGTACTGCTGTGAGCCAAATGGCTTTAAAATACACCGGAAACAGTAACCCGGAAGTGTAGGCGGTATAGAGCTTGCAACAGTAGAAAACACCATCCATGCAGTGAAGGTGGTGTTTTATTGCAGGCTTCCAAAACATCTCAATCCCTTTTAAAAAATATTAATTTAAAATGTTTGGCAATACTTTTGAGCAACCGGCTGTATCATTGATATATTGATGAGTATTGATGTTTAGATTTTCCTGCTTTTTCCTTGACATTTCTCTCGTATCTACAGTTTCGTTTCACAAGCTTTGATTTATGTTATAAATTCTGAAACACGTATTCTTAAGTATTTGGGCGAGCCAGTAAATTTACATCCCCACCATGTCTGATACAACAGATCTAAATCTGTTAATGGAAATGGGTTTTTCTGCAGCAAAAGCGTTAGTAATGTTCCTTATACTTCTGATGTTGTTTGGAATTAATTATTTTTGTTTTTCATTAATCCTTTTGTTAATTAAGCATGATGTTAATTAAATTCTTAAACTTCTCAAATGTCTTACGTAATTTGCAGCATCTTTTGTATTGCTTTAGTTCTCATATTTTTTTATAAACTAAATATTGTATCGATTTAAACAACTCTTATAACGATCGAGATGGGTCACAATATTTCCTCGTTACAACCGAGCTCTCATAAGAAATGAGTTTGTTTTAATATCATAAACGTTCATATATATTTAAAAAATAAATGTAAATATAATATTTTATTCATTTTTGTACTGAACAGTACAATCAAAAATTGAACATTTAAAAGAAGTTAGTTAATTTGCTTTAAACTGTTTCTTTGATATGTTATTGTACTTCAGCTTGAAAAATATCGTCAATATTAAGAAGGAATTCTTTGACTCAAAAAACATCAGAAATAAAAAATTTTTTTTTAAAGGGATTAGCTGAGCTGGATAGATAGAATTAGTAGAAATTTTGTGAATCAATAGAATATATGTACGTAAATCCAGGATTTGCTCCTTAAAGGCAAACTATGCTCCACTAGACTTAACGTTGTAACAACTGAGTATTTCCAAGATGTAACTGGGAGGGGGTTTCCTCCTCTCCAAAAAAATTTTCGGATTGAAAATTATTATCTATATAAGGTCAGAAATTTTTTAAAAATATCTGGTACATCCCAAATATTGTCATCCAGCCCAACCTGAGTATTTCTTTATTAAATATGTGTTTTCGTAAAATCGGGGCTTGTTATAAGCTATGAAACTGCATAATTATGCGTTTTCAGTATTTGTTTAGAAATTAGTTTCATATTAATTTCAGAACTCTTCTTCCCCTATAGCATTCACAGAACCACATTCTCTATGTGAACATTCACTACTCTTAACTTTTTTCATTTATTTCATCAAAGTTTTTCCTGTTTTGGACATATTTAAATCTTTTATGAATTGCTTTTAAAATTTTGATTATCACAATGTTTCAATATTTTATGATTATTATGAGTACAATAAACTGCCATTAATTTCTCAAAAAGTGCTATTTTGTTTTAGAAGTGTGCAAAGTATCTTTAAGCAGTTGATGCTTAAATAATTATGGTAATATGAACTACTGGTATTGTGACAAGAGTAACTGTGGCAGTAGGTTTCTAATATAATTAATATGGGGCAATTGATTTCTAACAGCTCCCTAAAAAGAAATAGTAAGTTATAAAATCGTATAAAAACCTACAGAAAATCTCAGCTTAACGAGTTCTACATATTATGATAAATCTGATGCTACGATAAAATTCTATTTCACATCAAGATACAAAAATTTTATGTTTATGGCATGTTAAAAATTACTAGCCTTCTGCTATTATGACAGAATTAGTATTAGGAAAATACATATTTTTTTTGTTTAAGTGGACAATATTATACGAAAAAGATTTAAATGGAAAACATTTTTATTTATTTCTAATATCAATACTGAAAAATGAGTATTGTTTTTTTCTTACTATTTTAACCCAATAATTTAATAAAGCAATGTGGGTACCGTTATCTTCTTCCTAACAAAAGAAATTCTACTGCTATTTTTGAAACTCCTGCCATGCACTTGATAAGAATGCACATTTTGATGGCGTGTCTCATGCTCCCTTATTTTGCCTAAATTACAACTTACTATTAGGGATGTAACAAATATTCGGCCACTATTCGGTATTCGGCCCTTTTGCCGAATGTTCCGCCTAGCCGAATACTGAAATTATTCGGCCGAATAATGAAGTATGTGCTATTATTAATTATGCTGCCATTATTTAGATTTGTGAAAGCCTTATTGTTGGCATCAAAATATTTGAAATATTACAAAAAATACATCAAGCTGTTAAATTTTTTTTCAAAATATAGAAAGTTTAAAAAAGAAAATTTGTTAATATTTATTTCATTTTTAATTTAAAATTTGAAAATTATTTAATTACAAGAATTAAAATTTCAAAAGTGAAACTTTTTAAAAAGTTCTTATTTTTCTGAGTTTTAATAATTTTTCTGACCAAAAAGAAAGCTAAGAATACATTTAACAGTAGTAAGTAATGAGTTCTTATCTTAAATAAAATAGCATATAAATTACAAGCTATAACTAAAATATGCTATTATTAATTATTTAGATTTATAAAAGCCATATTGCCTTGTTATTGGCATCAAGATATTTAAATTATTACAAAAAATAAATCAAGTTGTTAAATTTTTTTTAAATATACAAAGATTAAAAAAGCAATTTTGTTAATATTTATTTCATTTTCAATTTAAAATTTGAAAATTACTTTAATTACAATCAAAAGAGAAATTTTTAAAAAGTAAGTATTCGGCCACCGAATAATCGGTATTCGGCTATTCGGCCCCATCACTATTCGTTACATCACTACTTACTATTCAAATTAACATTCACTGTTATCAATGATATCTAAAGGTATTGCACTTTATTTTATTCTTTAAAAAACTTAACGATTTGGAAACTTGATTTTTAAACATTTCTGATCCAGAAATTTCTGTCTTTTATAAAGTTGAGCACGTGCAAAACTAGAATATTTAGTCTACAATCTGAAGTAGTCTACTAATAAGTATTTTAAATCAAAATAGTTGTCCATTAGAAAAGATGTTCATTCTAACAGACTTTCACTGTACTTTTTCTTGAGAAACATTTGCTTTTAAGACAGATTCATATTTTTATCTCTAATTAGAAGAATAGCCACAAAAATATGGTCCAAATAGTGCAGCCAGAAGAGCACTTGACATTCTTAGTGTTAATTTTACTTGGCAACATTTTCGATGCATTTTTTTATACTAAATTAAATTAAACCAATCTTGAGACTATCTGAGCAATAGGTATAAGGGTTTTATTAAGAAAAAGTACAAATTACCCGACTGACAATGCTACCTAAACAAGTGAAGCACTGTTTACTATGTATTATTTCACGTTAATGTGACTATACGCAAGTCTATAGAACAAATACTTCAAAATTTAAAAGGGTTTTAATTATGAACATCTATACATTTTACATTACTGTGTAAGAGCTACCTACCTGAACATGTAAGGTATATTTTTCGTTATAATTTTTTATGCCGAATTAAGTTGAAACAGGAATAGGTAAAATAAGTAGTTAAGAAAATACAAGGATTTTGTGTAGAAAAAATACACTTTTGTGCTTGTACTTACATGCGCATCTCATATTGTTATACAGACAAATGAGATCTTATTTTCTTTGTATTTTTTCTCACTTAATCAAATGATAAAAAAGAAGGAATAGTATTTCAAGCATTGCAATGTTTTATATATACAGTGAAACCTCCCATTACAAAGCGGAAGTCTCTCATTGCGAATTAATTACATCTTTTTAATTCCCTATGAATCTTCTATGAATAAACCATTATGTACATTCTCCGCAAAAGACTCCATAACCGGGCACGGACAGTCATTTATGCCCTAGAGCAGTGTTTCCCGAACTTATGACTTTTGGGTACCCTTTCTAAATTTTTCGCAACGCTGCGTACCACTAATAAAAAATTTATATATTTTTTACTATAAAAAAATTGCACAAAAGTTTAAAATCACAACTGGCTATTGACAGCACTAATTATTAACTGTTTACTGTGCTGAAATAGCCAATAGAAAAATAATTAATCATAAGTTTTCTTGGCTAGCTTTGTTTTTAAGTAGAAAATTTTGAAATCTTCGTTTGTAGCAAGATATTTCGCATAAAAACGCTTACCCCCGCTAAACTGTTCCCGTACCCCTGGGGGTACTCGTACCACACTTTGGGAAACACTGCCCTATAGCGTTATTTCTATCTCCACAAACAGGGCGCCAATTTTTCTAAATTTGGACAAAAAAGTATATATAAAACTATATTTCTGCTTTAAAATCTAAGGAAAAAAACTTTGCAATTTCCACCATTTTTAAAGCATGTAATTTTTTTTACCGTATCCACAACAAAAAATATTAAGCTATATCACAACTAAAAAATCGATCAGTCTCTTTTCGCCTTCCTCTATCTTTTCAAAGAACAGAAAGAAAATGATACTGCTCTTGTGGCATATTACAGGAGTGGCATCTTTTCATCGGAACAATTCTGGTTATGAGACCCCACTAGCTGAATATGAGACCCCACTTTCCCCACAGAAAATTCTTTTCTACTTATTATCAATTTGGAGACTATATTTTATACAGTTGGGTTATAAAATAGGACAGAAATCTAGTCATTGAGTTGTTTATATAAATGAAACATTTATTTGAGACATTTGACCAATGATCAATTGTGAATATGACAACTCCATGAAGCCTTGTGTCTTGCCAGTATGCATTGCTGCTTTCTTTTTCTTCTGCGCATAGTGGGAGGTTTACTTTCAAGAAGGTATCACCACATTTCCTATCAATTGATAGGGTGTGTAAACCTAATAATCAAACCGTCTGACGAAATGACGCAGGACTAAAAAGGCCTATTCCGAATCATATGACTAACTTGAATGTCTGTGTTAATAGGAAAAACATACTCATTTTTCTGTAGCTACATCTTGAATTATGTATCTATATGTATCAAATGTTTTCATATATATTTTTTAAAGTTTAAATAAATGTCATTGTAAACAGTTATTGTTGATTATTTAATTTTTTCTATATTATTGTAATTCTTCGAAAAACAATTCATGGCAAGAAGTGTACCCTTCCCTTAAATGTACAACTCTCGTAAACGAACAATTTTATCGCTCCTAAAAGTATCCGTTTAACGGAGATTTCACTGTATATATATAAAAAGTACTAAGCATTTTTGAATTGTACTTATTATGAAGAAATTTTTTATAATTTTAAAGCTATTTATGCTATCGACTTGAATATTTATCTCATTCAGCATTAAAAAAATTTAATTATAAAGTGTACCTTGCATGTTCAGATGTTAAAACTAGCAATGTAAAAAGTGTATGTAAGTACATGTCAATAGAAGTACTTTTTATGCATGATGTGCTTTTAATTATTCAATCTATTAACTTTAGTATAGTATCATTCAATTTAGTATTAAAATTTATGTAGGAAACAATGCCTCATTTATTTAGATAGCCAAATACGAAAGTCAATGTCAGATGCATTAATTGGTACAAGTACCAATTCGTACTTTTTTATACACAAAATTCATATAGCTTATAAGCTATTAGTCCGATCATCCTGTAATTGGTTTCATTCAATTCTCCCCCTCAAATCTATTTGATTTCCCTCAAAAAAGGGAGAAGGGTGCAGCAGAGAGTAGGGGAGTTTTAAGGTATCATTTATAAAGACATAACAAAACTTTTCATCGAAATAAAAAGCTCTTGGTGTTGATTCTTACAAAGAAACACCCTTTTCATTGCTATGATAACCATATTTAGATGTATTTCTTCAAAGCCACAAGAAATTGTTCTTACGAGGGATTGTGCCCATGACGAATTGTTGTTGCGATAAATTGTGCCGTAACGAATTGTGTAAGAATTGTTGCATGACAGAATTCAGTATACTTTTCTGCACCATAATCTATTAAAGAACATTTTTAACTGCTGTCCAGAATTTCTATTCTTAAAACTGTTTTGTGTTCTATAAGAAATATGTTTATATATTTTTTTACTTCTTTATAGAAATCTAGTATATAATAACATAATATGTTTGATGTTAATTGTGTGACGTTTAATGATTTCAGAGAGAAAGCATTAAGTGCGACTGGTAATAAAGGAGTTGAAGCTGCAATGGAATGGTAATAATTTTTTTTTTCTTTCATATAATAACTGTGTGCTGATATAAGGATAGTAAAACAGCACTTATTGTTTAGAATAGAGGCATGGAACCTATGCTGACTATTTGATAAATCCAGTTCATAGTTTCCAGAGGATATATTTCTCTAGTTAATTATTCTTTTATTAATATTTTAATTCTGTGAAAAAAGCAAACTGCAATAGAAGATTTAAGCATTGAAGAATAATATTCAATTCATGATTTTCAGAAATTTTGGAAATATAATACTTACACAAGGCTGCCATTTTCATTTAATAATACAACTGAAATTACTATTTTGAAGATAAGTATTAAGGCGACAAATTTCCAATTAGCTACTAAAAAAAAAACTTCTTTTTTTTTTCTCCGCCGCTCTATGGATAATAATTGGTTCTTATTTGATATATCCATATCTGAGGTCATAATCAATTGAGATTTTTTTTCCATTTCATTCGACAATGGGATGTTTCATGCATTTGAAGTGAGGCTAAAGCCATAGACAGTGGCAAGAGCGAGCAATCTTCAGACCTGTTGCGTTTTCGACAATCGCATATTAATGTAAAATGTCTAAAATTAAATTTAGCATAATAAAGTATCGTTATATTTGCTTTGAATTTTTTGACTTTTCATTTAAACACAATGTATTTTATTCATATGTTTTCTGATGTGTGAGATAGCAAAATTTTAAGAATTGTTTTTAGATATATTAAATTGTGTATTTATTGATAATGGTACTTCAAAATAGGTTATTTTTAATGTACTATGTCAAATTTGTAAATTTAATTAATATGTGAAATTTTATTCATAAAATATCTTTTTAGTTTCACTGTATTTTTATTCTTGTAATTTAATTTTATGCAAATTCAACTAACCATTTACTGGGCCTGCGCTAAGAACTTCAAACTACTAGCCAGTAAATTTGCTAAAAATCAAATAAAAGTGTTTTAGCCAAATTTGAAAAAAAAAAAAAATCTTAACAAATTTTTATGATTAATTTTTCCCCATAGAAATCTTTAAGTCAAAATACAAATTTATTATAAATTTAACTATTTTAAAAATAAAAATTCCAATCAAGAGTCGTTTTACCCTTGGTGAGGAGTAATGAATGGGAGAGCGGATCATAAATATGAATGTTTTATTGACTTTGATTAAAAGAAATAAGAATAGGTTAGGATTAATTTTTGATAGCTTCTTACACAAGAGTAGTAATATAAAGGTAAACCTGAAGCAACATTTGATGTTTTTTTAATTCTGACTATCTTGTAACTAAATATATTTCTTTTAAGTAGTTTATTTTTTAATTAAAAAAATTCAGCTGTCTCACTTATTTTTTACTGAGAAAAAAATATATCGCGGTAGAAGATAAGTTATTTGAATACAGTGAAACCTCCGTTAAGCGGACATTCATGGGACCAAAAAATTTGTCCGTTTATGAGAGTTGTCCGTTTACGGGAAGGGTACTCTAATAACGAAATTTAACACCGTATATTGTTTTTAGAATATTCTCAAAAATGTAGAAACAATTAAATAATATTTACAAGGATACTGTAAATATCTACAAGAATATTTATTTAAACAATAAGAAAGATAAAAAAGAATATATAAAGAAGTTTTGTATAAATACATAATTCTGGATGTAGCTACAGATAAATAAATATAATTTTCCTATTAGCATAGATACTCAAGTTAGACATATGATACCAAATAGGAGCGTACTGTCCTCAGTCCGTTTCAATTATTAGGTTCACATCCCCTTACACCTACTTATCATTTGATAG